CACACGTGCCCAGAGTGAGTTTAAGCCACCGGGCCTGGGACTCGAACCGTGGTTGACTACAGGGGAGTCCAGCAACATAGCCATAACGCCAAGTGCTGGTTCCATTCATGCGTAATTTCAAAGTGGGAATGTAAGTGAGAAGTGATTATAATCTTATGAATGGGATACTTAGTGCTGTGATTGCTGATGTCCACTGAGGATTGCAACATGCCTAGCTGGAAGGATTCAAATCATTTACGATCATAATTTGTGTTCTGTTGGCCAAGAGTGGGGAATAAAAGCTCTGGGCTCCTAAACAGCAATACACAGCCTAAAGCTGCATCTCTTTCTGAAACTCACATCAAAAGCAAGGATTTTTCTCCAGGCCCAAGACTTAATGCGCCAGAACTAGGATGCAGTTTAAAGACTATAACGAGAAGATTGAATCTGAGCACTCCCTAACCCTTTCAAGACCTTGTACGTTTCTATACTTAGTCTGTAGAAGGTGACATTCGTGAGGGAGAGCGGTGCTCAGTCTGCCTTGTGGTTGCTGACACGTTTGTGGCAACGTGTGCAGGTGGAGATCAGATGTCCAGGGGAAGAAACAGTGGCACGTACCGTGAGATGGGCCTGGCAGGGGAGCGGAAGTGGGAGAGAGGAGAAAGAAGTCTTCCTAGTGCACGTGTATGTCCTCACAGTTCTGTCCCATGCAGAAACCCAAAAGGAATATCCCAAAAGGGTTTCAAACTCCAAATACATTGTTTTCCCCCAATACAATAGTTGTGCAGATTGTGAGATGCTAAAACATATTCGAAGCAGTCCTCAGTAAAAATTGTTGGATTCAGAAAAAGGAGAGAATTATGTTCTGCTCCCTGGTCAGAGTTGGGAGGACATCGAGCAGAGTAGATCGCAGTTTGTCCTTTGTTATCAATAGATTGATCCCGAGACCCTGTGGGTACCACAGTGCGTGGTCACTCAAGTTCCTTATATAAAATGGCATATTTGCATATAATCTACGCTTTCTCCTCTACTCATTAAATTATCTCTAGACTGCTTATAATACCTAGTACAATGTAGATACTGTATAAATAGTTGTTATACTGTATTTTTACTTATTTTATTTTTATTGTTGCATTGCTATTTTTACTTTAATTTAATTAAAAAAATTTTTTTTTGAGAGGTTTTTGCTATAGGACACATGTGCTTGCCAGAAAGACAGAGAGAGACAGAGAGACAGAAAGTGAGAAATCACCCCCCAAGGGGGATGGCCACTCCACAATCCCTTCTCCTCCATTCTCCTCTCAGGATCTTGGGCACACACACACGTGCGCTCAGTGTGAGTTTAAGCCACCAGGTCCGGGACTCAAACCACGGTCGACTACATGGGAGTCCAGTGACATAGTCATTACGCCAACTGCTGGTCCCTCATTTTAATTTTTTTCCAGATATTTTTGACTCATGCTTGGTTGAGTCTGCAGGTGTGGAGCTTGTAAATAGAGGCCGACTGTATTGGTATTTCAGAGATTTCTCTTTTTCTTTGAGGATGGTCTCAAAAGTCACAGATGACAGGACAAAGTGACATTCAAAGAACTGGTTTGTAAATCATTCTAAGACTCTTATTAGTGTCCAGTCTGCTAAATCCTTTGCTAAGGCTAAGGTTAATTCAAATCTTGGGGGCACCCTCACCCCAGCCCCTGAACTCTCTTTGAACAGCTTCAGTGCAGACAGATCTTCATCTTTTGAAGATGAATCTTTATTCTAAGGATTAAAGGGATGATTAAAGCACTTCATGTGCTTGCTAGCCCTAAATAAGTGGAAGACATTGTTTTTTTTTTTTTTTTATCTCGACAGTTATCAGTAGATTTGAGTTCTTGCACATAGCTAAAAGTCATTTGCAGGAAGCTCTGATGCATAAGGAAGCAGGTCATGCCGAGGTACAGCATGTGGGGCCCAAAATGCAGGCAGAAATGGTGAGGTTATTTCATTATTTCAGAGCTGCCAGTGAAAGGTTATCTTTCTCTAAAAGCTATGAGAAATGAGCTAGTTTCTAAAATACCTGGAGAGTAGTCTCTGCCTGCTCAGGATGATAAGCTTCGTTTGTATGTATACATCCTGGTGTTTCTGTTGCAGGGCACTGCGGGGGGCTTAAAGGGCATCTGAAAACATCGGGGAGATCTCTGAGGCTGGTTGGGGGTGGAGAAGATACAATTCAGGTGAACTAAATGATCGGCTCAGAGGGGGAGGCCCTGGCGCTGAGGGTCCTATTGCTACCTGTACGATGGTCCCCCTTGCCCCTGGCCAGTGCCTTCTGGGAATAAAGAAGAATGCTGTCCTCTCTTATGGGTGAGTCTAGGGGAACAGCCTCCAGGGGTAGCCACTTTTGATGTTGGGGAGCTTGGGATTTGGGGGGCAAGACATACCCGGATTGAATTCTGGCTCTGCCGCGTACTAGCAACTAGCAATTAGGCACGTCATTTACTCGGAATATTCCAAGTTCGCTCTTCTATTCTAAAAAGTTGAGGCAGTTAATATGTCCAAAAATTTTTCAGATACTATCTTGACTTTTTATTATGAACACTTATGAACATTACAAAATTAAACAAAATAATTTGTATAACGAACCCCCTGTGTTCATAACCTTGCGCTAGCACCTAATTACCTAAAGCTGATCTTACTCCCCTCCTTTCATCCATCACCCCTTACTCCAGATTGTTGTAAAGTAAATCCCAGGCATCGTGTCATTTAATTCAAAAATATCTCAGTATGAATCTCTAAAAGATGCAGTCTCTTTTAAAAACGATACTCACAATTCCATTATCAACCTTAAAAAATTGACTTATCATTTCATAATATTAAATATCAGCTGCTCAGCCAATGTTCAAATTTCCCCAATGGTCTCATAATGATTTTAATAGTTGCTTCAAGTTATGAGTAAAATCAAGTCCTTAAATTGTGATGGGTTGATATGTTTCTTATGGTTCTCATAATCACAGATTCTCCCTCCCTCTCATTTTATCTCCTTGCTATTCCTTCTTCTTCTTTTTAAAATAATTATTTATTTAATTTTATTTATTATTATTATTATTACTTTTTAAAACTTGCCACAGGGCATGTGTGATTCTCAGAGAGAGACAGAGGAAGAGGGAGAAAGAGAGAGAGAGAGGGAGGGAAAGTGAGAAAGCAAACTTCCAGGTGCAGGACTCAAGCCACCGTTGGCCATATGGGAGTCCCATGCCCCAACCATCACACCACCTGCTGGCCCCACTTCTTTTATATCAAGATAAATCCTCTTGCAATTTGTTTGTTGTTTGGTTTGTAGAATTTCCCACAATCAAGATGTTTTAAAATGTTGGCCTTATTATTATTTAGGTGTGGCGAGGCCAAGAGGCTGGGCGATGACCACTACTGAAAAGATAGTTAATTACTCACAGTTCCCAGAGGCCAGGCCCACATCATGACATAGCTCTCCCCACAGAGACCCGTCTTCTCTGGAGGCAGAAGGAGCATGAGGAAAACATGGGAGATTTGTATTTGTCATGAGAAAGGTAGGTGGGCCAAGCAAGCTTAAGACTGACTAATTTGAATCATTTCACTGAGCTCTTGGGCATAAGGGCTGTCTCTAGTGGCCCTGTGATCACCTCTGTGTGGTTTGGATAGGAGAATATTGGCCTGGTGTGGAGGATGTGTATGTTTGGGAGGGAGAGGCAGGCATGGCTCTGGATTGTTGGTGGGCACGTGCGATGAGTACCTATGGCAAGCTGTTTACTGTCGCTAGGAGCTGGGTCGCCCTCAGGCAGGAAGGCAGCCAGCTTTCCGTGACCAGTTAGGCCCCAGGTGTGGAAACTATATAAAATGTACGCTCAATACCCCAACTTTTGCCTGTTGCCATTGTTATGATGTCATTTCATATCTTCACTGGTCTCCAGTATTTGCTATAAATTGGTAATAAAATATACAGCCTTGGCTAAAATCAAGTTCCATTTTTCATGTCTTCATCACAAATTACATAATACCCAATTATCTCTGATTTTATTATGCTAGCAGCCATTGATGAGCAATGGCTAGATTTTTTATTTAATTAGGGATTGTAGGAGTAATATTCTAATTCTATAATTCCTTCTTTCTTTTATTAGCTTGATTTTTTTTTCTTTCTGTAAAGAGGAATGTCTCCCGAGGTGCAACTTGGATATCCAGAGAGTCTGTATAGGAAAGGAGGTTAAATGCTCGATTTTCTCCTTTAACTTACTTGTTTTAAAACATCTGTGTTGGAATAACCTTCTCTGCAAATGACCAGTGGTTTTTATTCCCTTCTCCCGTAGGTTTAAATATATTTGATCTGTTTCAATTATGGGAGTTATTATTCTTATTGATGGTGATGTCCCATTTTTTGGCCACTGGGAGCTTCTTCCAAGTTGGCCTTTGACTCACTTTTAAATGCCATCGGTGGTCTTTGATGGCTGTCTGTCTTTGGGAATGAGAAGAGTTCTAGGCTTCTATCAAGCATTTCCCAACCCAGATCTGGGATCAGTCTTTTCTCCCAGGTGCCCTGTTCTTTTAATGGGAGGCCAAATGAGAAGGTGTTAAAATTGTTTCTTAGTAAACGTGTATTATGAAAACATCAGGTTTGGTTTCAAAATAGTATTACACCAAAATAAACTTGAACTTTAATTTCATTTTCCATAAACTTCTTGATGTACCCCCATATTTATAGAGCATCACCTCATTGCTTTTCAGGGCTAATTGCTTCTGAATTGGTCATTATTTCTAGGTCTTCTCAATGGATAGCGCAAGGACATACATGAATAATTCATTAACATATTTATTAAGTCTCTCTTTTCTCCTTATGAGAGAGAGAAGGAAAAATACAGAGATAAAGGGGGAGAGAAAGGGAAACGAAGAGAGAGAGGTATTGAATTTTGGACAGAATCTTGCTTGTCTCAGAATCCTCCTGCCCAGCCTCACAATTAGCTAGAATTTCAGGCACATACAGCAACACCTGGTGTGTTCAGGTTGCTATGGGACCCAAACCCAGGCCCCCCCATGTGGCTTCAGCTCTCAAGAGTTTGCGCTGTGTCTGGTCACTATGGAGCTGTAAGTGTCCTTGAAGCATAGATTTCCCCTCCCATTTTTTTTCACCTTTACTTAGGTATATTCTCCTTCTAAGTTGTTGAGTGCATAAGGATACTCCTGACTCAAATTCAGGGTCTCAGGGGAACCAGCAGTTAGCATAATGGCTATGTTGCTGGACTCCCACGTAGTCGACTGCGGTTCGCGTCCCGGACTCGGTGGCTTAAAACTCACGCTGGGCGCGTGTGCGTGTGTGCCCAAGATCCCGAGAGGAGAATGGAGGAGAAGGGATTGTGGCGTGACCATCCCCTCTGGGGGGTGATTTCTCGCTTTCTGTCTCTATGTCTCTCTCTGTCTGTCTGGCTAGCGCACGCGCCCTATAGAGAAAACCTCTCAAAAAAAAAAAAAATCAAGGTCTCAGGATTTTTTCCCAACTTGTTCAATAATGCTTTTAATACCACCTTTTCTGATCCTGAAACTCCCGACTCCCAACTCAAATCAATGAATGTACTCATTTACTTTATCTCAAAATATATAGACAACAGTTTCTGAATAAAAACTACCACACTACAATTAATGTGATAGCCAAAAAGTAACCTTTAAAATAGTTCTTTTTCCTCTCAGGCTGTACTTCACTAGAGGATCATCATTTAAATTTGGGGCTGTAGCCTGGCTGAAGTCTAAACACACAGTGTGTGCTCATGCCGCCCGCTCTACCCCCAGCCCATGCATCTGCTTCATCTTGCTTTAGGTTTTAAGGACAGCATAGTGTTTAGGTTGATGGTTACTGTGCAGTCAGGAATATTCAAAGAGGGCTGGTTTTTATCCCTCCTTCTCCCTATACCCTCTGCTGTTGTTTATTTTGCCATTTATTTATTTATTTATTTTAAATTTTGCCAGAGGGCACATATATTCTTTAGAGAGAGACAGAGAAAGAGACAGTGAGAAGGAAAGAGAAGGCACCCCCAAAGAGGAATGGTCATGCTTCAACCCATTCTCCTCTCCTTCTCCTTCCTTTTGCGATCTGGGCACACACATATGTGCCAGGCGTGCTTCTCAAGCTGTGCGTCTAGGACTCAAACCACATAGTTAGCCATATGAGATCCAGCCACCTTAACCACTAGGCCATGGGATGGCTCTCTCTCTCTCTCTCTTTTTTATTAGTATAAGCAAAATTTATAAATATATACAAATAAATATTTACTTCCTCTTTCTTTTCAGATCAAGGTAGCGTACCATATGTGTTCTCCATCTTGCTCTTCCTCACTTACTGTATACTGAAGAATGCGTCACAGGAGTATTTTAAATATGAAACAAAATATAAGTCCACAGTCCCTTACGTACTATTCCCAAATCCTCAAAGTTCTAAAAACCTAGAATTTTATTATAAGCTTGCAGCAAATTCATTTGGAAAATCAAAATCAAATCTGAACACACTCAAAGTTATTTATTATCTGCACTTTCTCCACTTATATGCACATTGGTACATTCTTGATGTTGAGATATTTAATACATTTGATTATGGGCTCAGCCTCGTGCCTCATGCCTCTGTGGAGGCGTTAAGTGATATATGGTATGTGCACTCTGTTACCTTTCAGAGACCTGGAAATGATTAATTCTGAAACATATCTGGCTCCAAGAATTTCAGATAAGGCATTCTGAACCTGTGATATATAAATCATTCATTAATAATATTTAGTCGCCCTCCTTCTTCCAACACTCGTTTTCAGATTTTTTTAAAGAATTTTCTGGTCCTCCTATTCTAATTTTTTTTTTTTTTTTTTTTTTTTTTCTTTAAGGACGCTGCCCCCCC